AAAAAAAAAAAAAAAAAAAAATTACGTAACGACAATTGTACTACAAATCACAAAATTTAGTACACAAAATTTTTTCACGAAAAAAATACTTAAATTTACAAAAATTAAACTACGTATAAATTTTAAGGCAGTTTTTATGTTAGATCAATAATTAATAATTACTAAAAAAAAAAGGAAGCGCGTATTGAAAAATTCAAGTAGTCAATTAGTATAAAAAAAAAATATTGAAGAATAAATTTAAAATAAATTAATCTCGGGTGTCGCAAGAAACAAAATAAATAAATAAATTTAATATACAATACAATTAGATCATGTACATTGCAATAAATCCACGAGCATTAAAAATACATAACGTCATGGATTAGCCTTAAAACAGACAACGCTTGTCACGTATACAAAGATTAATTAATATTTTAATTTAGGTGGAATAAAAAATAATTATCTATTTTATTGTTAATTAATAGTAATAACATCGCGTGTGAAAAGGTAAAAGAGCGCAAAATTTTTCTTTGATACTTGTTTTTAAATTATTTAAGACACAAAGATTTGAGGAAAAAATTTGAGAGTCAAACTAAAAGGGCGTATAAAGAAAATTTAAGTTTTAATCTATATTATTAAGAGAATGCATTCGAAAATACTCTAGATAGAAAATTAAGAAATGACCTTGTAGCTTGAGAACTATTGACATTTTTAAAGATATAAGCTCATTTCAGTGTTATACTCATCGAGACCTTTCATTTGAGTACCCACATCAATTTTTCATATATTTTATATATTTATATATTTCATAAATATTATATATATAAAAGATATATAAAAAATAGCATGTGGGTACTCATATGAAAGGTCTCGATGAGCGTAACATCAAGATGAGCTTACATCTTTAAAAATATCAATAATTAAGAAATTACCACATATCCTGTTAACTAATGATATTTTTAAAGATATAAGCTCATTCCGATGTTACACTCATCGAGACCTTTCATTTGAGTACCCACATCAATTTTTCATATATTTTATATATTTATATATTTCACAAATATCATATATATAAAATATATAAAAAACACCATGTGGGTACTCAAATCAAAGCTCTTGATGAGTGTAACATTAGGATGAGCTTATATCTTTAAAAATGTCAATAATTAAGAAATTACTTTGTATTTTGTGAAATATTGACATTTTTAAAGATATAAGCTCATCCCGATGTTACACTCATCGAGACCTTTCATTTGAGTACCAACATCATTTTTTCATATATATATATGAAAAATATATAATGCATGTGGGTACTCAAATGAAAGCTCTTGATTAGTGTAACACCAGGATGAGCTTATATCTTCATAAATATCAAAAGTTACGAAAATATATTATTATGTCTTAAAAAAAATTTTTTTAATTATTAAATATCTACTAAATTAATTATAAAATTTAAAAATTCCCGCCCTTTTAGCTTTAAAAAATCACTATTCATTTTACGCGAATAAATCTAGATTTGCAATAAAAAAAAATGCGTCCTTTTACCATTTAACCAACGATATCATATAAATAATCTGCCTACTGCCTGCGTGTCAATTATTTTAAAAACAAAAGACTTACGCAGCGCATTGAGTAATCTTCATTTGCCCAGTCCGACCAGCGCCTCATCCATGAGCTCATCGTCGGTAATGCAGGGAGAGGCTACCGAGTGAGGCGAAGGAATAACTCTCGGCGAAGGAGCGGGACTCTTAACAATATGAACACTTACCGAGGGACTGGGAGGAAAGGCAGGTGGAGGTGGTGGCGGAGGTGGAGGTGGCGGGGGCGGAGTGTTCCTACACACCGGTACCGACTGTAGATTAATCCCCCGGTCGGTAATTCCTCCCACGGCGGCCATCTTGATGTCTTTTGGCGTCGAAAAATCCAGTAGCATTTCCCCAACTTCAATTTGTCCTTGAGCCTTACTAGGAACTAGAGCCTCACTAGAAGCCAATGGCGGGGTAGAAGAAGTCTTCTCCATTACCTTCCGCTCCTCCATTTTGTTGTACTTATTCAAAGCGACGTCAGCCGGCTTTGTGCATAAATTCAAGCTTTCGGAGCTAGCAGCGGTAGAATTTATCGCGGAAAAAGGTTTTGAATCTGTAGTATCGACTCCCAGTATCGACCCAGGATCCTCAGCAGCGCCACCTAGCGGCAGTTTTATAAACTGAGAAGACGACCTTGAGATTGACAAATCTTTGCACTCGCGAGTCTCGTTATCCGACGATTGCATGGATAAATTAGTAGGGACGTCCTCATGTGAACTAGTAATGGCAGCCGCTGATGACGAGGGTAGAATTAATGAGGGATCCAATGAAGCGGTCAAGTTTAACATCGGCAACGCAGTTGATAAATTATCCGGTTTAGTTTGAGCAATATCCCTTCGAGATATCGAATTAGAATCCAAAATATCGGATTTCTGGTTAAGATTACCGGCCGTCGGTAATGTCTTTTGATCCTTGGATGATAAAGTGTCCTTATTGTTACCCCCTTGATCCGAACTAATCCCCGTTCCTGACTTATCCCCCTTTTTATCCGAATTATTATCAGCAGTTGCGTTAACTCTGGCGGATAATTTAGGAATTTGGAATTTAGTATCAAGCTGCTTCATTAGTCCTTCAACAAGCGGCGGGTAGTTTGAAACACTTGACATGGAAGTATGAGCAGCTAGAATCTTAAAAGCACGCTCGCTTTCACTCTCTTCGCGCAATGGCGAAGGACTGGCTTTCCTCACATCAGATTTAACCCCAAACAAATTGCTATTTGGGTTGCTAGAACTCGTCCCAGTTCCACTGGTTTTATCACCGGATTTAGGAATTCGGGGTTTATCGCGTCTGCTTAGGTCCGTAGCTCCGGAACTGGACATTTTGGGCGATCCAGTTGAAGCTTTAGTGGTGCTTTTTGTTAAAACACTTCCACTAGAACTAGATCCGGATTTTAGGGACGTTTTCTGACCTACTGTGCTCAGTTTGTTCCCAACACTCATTTGCTGTCCGGATGCTTTAGAGGAGGATTGAGACTGTGGTTTTTTGGAAGCGGGGCCTGAATTCACTCCGGGTTTCAATCCAGTGTGGGTTTTGGGTGACCCGTTGCCGGATGATGATGAAGATGATGAAGACACCGTTGAAGAACTTACCGAAGAACTGATCCCAACACTTGAAGACACTTTCATATTTCCCGCTTTGGAATCTTTAGCACGAGTTTTGTTGATCGTTATTTTCATATCAGAGCTGTGCTTCACCATATACTCCGTAGAATTTTTGCCATCTACTGGGCTGCTCTTTCCAGCGCTCTTTTCACCTTTAGTCGATGTGGCAGGACGTTCTTTTTGTCCCGGTTCGGGTGTCTTGCCACTGCTACCACTGCCATTGTTACCCGGATCATCGGTAACATGCAGGGCATTCTTAGATAGCTTATCAATCACAGCGCTAAGAGAACCTTTGCGATTTCGGGCTTGTTGCGCTTTGCTGATATCTGAGCTACCAGCTCCACTACTTCCAGCGCCACCTCCTCCGCTGGATGGAGGCGTGCTTCCACCTGATGTGCTAGGAGGTGGTTCTCCAGCATTCGGTAGCAAGTCTACGGATTTCAACTTACTGGACTTTGTTTTGGGGCTTTGGCCTGAATTGCTAAATGCAAGTCCAGTTGAAGAAGAAGTTGAAGTGGAGGAAGTAGATGACGGATTTTTACGGTCTTTATCTTTATCCCGAGTTTCTTTGCTCGATTTGGGTTTAGAGGAACTGGACTCGCTTTTCCCACAAGTGGGCGAATTGTTAGCAGCTGATTTAATAGCGGAAATACTGGGTTTACCCGCACTGGCAGTGCTACCATGTTTTGGGGAAGAGGTACCGTGTTTAGGGCTAACACTTGCTGATAACCCAGTGGAAGAATGTTTTGGGCTATTGTAAACAGGCGAATGTTTAGGACTTGGCATTGATTTGCTAGTTGTCGTACTGGCAGTTGATGTAGTCGCGGAAATAGACAAGGATTGTCGTAACGTTGGCGATGATTTGCCAACCAATGCCAGCGGACTGTGAGTTGGGGAAGGATTCAGCTTACGTAAAGTTGTAGCGGGAGAAGATGGACGTGAACCACTTCCACTACCATTACCATTACCGCTGCTAGTCGGCTGATTTTCGGTAGGTTTTATGCTCACCGAAATGGGTTTAGAAAGGGGATCTTGAGATTGCTTCAGTAATTTTTCAGGCAACGACCCAGGTGGACCCATCGGCTGCATAGGGCTATCCGCTCTTTTCCGCTTATTCCTTTTCTTTTCCAGCCTCGATTTATCATCAGAGGTCTTGTTGCTCTTGCGATCACGTCGCTCGTCAGAGCTTACTGGTTTTATCGTAGCTCCAGTAATTGGCGTTATTGTCACCGAGCTGGGCAAGTTTGTCGGGGTAGTTGTTGATATAGGAATGATTTCAATACCAGGTCTACGATCTAGACCCATTCCTGTTAGCACGGAATTGTAATTGGGTGTCTGTTGGACAATGCTACTACTAGAACTGCTGCCAGTCAAATTACTGCTGCTGCCACTTAAACTACTGGTGCTACCACTCGTTATTGGCGTAATGCTAACAGAAGGCGGTACTAAGCTGCTTTTAGTGTTTTCATCAACAAAAATCGGACTTTTCTTATCCTCGCGATTCTTACGAGACTTCCGCTCGCGCTTCATTATTTCATTGTAATCATCAGGTAAGTCATGAACTACCTCCATAACATCTGTCTCGTTTTCAACATCATAATCCGTTGAGCTGCGAGTATCACCAGACACTGCAGCAATGTCAACAGCATCTAAACCCGATAGATCAAGCCCAGCAACTAAATTTACGGGAGTTGATGTAGGGGTAGGTGTCCGAGTGCCATTAGTATTATCACGACCAGTTGGCGTTCCTAACGGCGTAGAGTCTGAACTAGAACTCTCTAACAGTATTTCATTTTCATTATTATCATTTTTATTCTTCGGACTGCGCCAGAGGCCGTCCGCAGTTTTTCTTTTGCGGGACTTTTTAGTCCGCTCAACTGGGGAAGTAGTTGCTGAAACAGTAGCAACTGCTGTAGTAGGTGTGGTAGTAGCCGTACTAGGAGACGTTATAGTTGTTTTAGTTTGCTGATTTAATAACGCGCTAAGTTGTAAGGGATTTAGCATAACCGATGTATCGGATTGGCCGGAAAACGACGGGAACCCGATACTATTCTCCGTTCCGGCATCTAAAAAAGACTGCTGCTGTGATGTTGATGATGATTGGGATGATGTAGAAGAGGCTGAAGATAATCCTCCGGTACCAGTTTGTCTATTTAAACCATTACTACCATTACCATTACATCCCGGCTCTGTTTTTATCTTAGTCTCCCCGTTAGTAAAATCAGAAATACACACTGGACCATCATGCCCATTTTCACGTGATAAGTTAACACTGTAATTACCATTAGTCATACCATTTCCAGGATTACTACCACCATTACCATTACTATTGTTACCACTCGTGCTAATACCTTTAGGCAATGTATTACGACCTTCCCATATCTTAATCAACGCACGCATTGTCACTGGAATACTAAGGCACCTCTGCAATACTTTGCTAACTATTTCAGACGTCTGTTCTGTATTGGTCATACTAACCCCATAAAGTTTACACTTAAGCGCTGATATATCCGTCAAATCCAACTCAGCAGTAGCTAATGTCTCTTCAAAGGGATGCTCTAAGCTTATTGAGATATGTTGCCAGGATAAAGCGCTTACTTCTATTATTGTGGTTTGCTCTAGGTCATTTCGTGCCATCGCACGTACGCAGCTTGTTATCAAGGTATTAAACAGCGCTTGCTGACGTAAACTAGATAGTATTTGCGGAACATGAGCTGGGTGAGTAAAGGGTATGCTATTCACCAGAATTCCCTTCATGCTTTTTGTCTCAGTCATAAAGTAGCAGTGCTGTTGGTCGGGTAGGGTCACATACAGACCTCTATTATTCCGACAGTCTAATTGTCCTTCGCTAGCGTGCTGGACTATCAAGTTTAGCAAGGGTTGAGGCTGCGGTGGCGGAGATTCGCTACCATCCAGGTCATTTATTTTCTGCTCTGTTATTTTTTGGATCCGGTTGATCAGTTCCATGCACACTGGCATTTTACTGGGGAGTCTTAGAACGAAACAGGCTGGAAGTGAAGAGGAATTCAAACTAGTTAAGGGGGCGTAAGAGGGAGTGTTTTTTCCCGAAGCTGTACGGTTTACGGTAAGTATGCTAGTTGTTGGTAATTTGTGGGAACCTTTTGAGGAACTTTGGAGGCAAACTGTTACGTAATGGCCTATTTTCCGCGATATCACTGTTTCAGGGCTTAGGGGTTCAATTGTGCGGGTCTCAGGGTCTATTAGATCATAGGGGGACACGAAGTAAGTTAGCTTCATTGGATGCCCGCCTTTACGACGCTCGAGAATTCCTACTGGGCTTTTATGAACGATGTTAAAAGACTCTTTTATGAAAGTTTGCAATTGTGCTAAGCCACCCAAGTCAGCTTCCAGGGACTGCAAAGCGCTAAACGCTTTGCATTTTTGCTTCTTCTCAGCCTGGATTTGATAAATTGACATCAAACCTTGTAACTGCGCGGTGAAATCTACAAAGTCGCCTCGGGAGAGACAGGATACTAATTCCTCGCAACTTTGCTGCTCTGTTTTACCTTCGTGATGGATTTTGACGTCTTTTACTACTCCTGATGGCTCGATCAGAACTTCCAGGTAAAACATGTCCGAGGAGATAAATAGTTCCGTTCCCGATGGCCCGAGCATAAATTTTAGACTGAATTTAAAAAATTTAGAGTTATAGATTGAGAAATAGTTTTTTTTAGTAGAAAATAAAGAATAATTACTTACTTTAGTTGCCTTGAAAGACTCTCCAGTCTTTCTACCATTGACTGGAGGGAAGTGACCTTGATTGAATGTTGTAAGGTGTCCAGACATTTCTGCAGCTGGCTTTTTTCAACACTGTCTATTGCGAATCTTTTATCCTAAAAAAAATTAATATTTAGAAGAAAGTTTTAGAAAATATAAGTAACTAGCAACCTTGCAGTCACTATGTGACTGCAGCAAATTGGGAACTATAAATAAATAAGATTTTGCATTATTAAATAATGACTTTTGTTAAATTGCACTGTACTTTTTAAAATATTGACAATTTTGAAAATATAAACTCATCCCGATGTGACACTCATCAAGAGCTGTCATTTGAGTACCCCCATGCATTTTAATATATTTTTCATATATACATATATATATATGTATGTATAATTAATATGAGTCTATTAATACAGGTACTGTACGAACAATTTATAATTATTAATACGGGTACTGGACAAATAATTTATTATTATTCGTACATAAGTCGGACGAATAATTTTATTTTATCAATTAGAGTGCAAAAAAAAAATAATTTTGCGTTTCTATTTGTTTTTAATTTAAACCAAAAAATGGTAAATGTTTGCCGATTGTAATACCGTAAAATATTGAATTTATTTTTTATTATTAAATATAATAAATGCTCTTTAATAAATTAAATTTATAGGTATTAAATATATATATCTAAATATATTTTTCACACATTGATATAAGCGTTCTGATTCTGTTGCAAAAAACAGCCCAGCAAACGTATTTTCTTTTTCATACAATAACCATTGTGCTTTAAATTTATTTTCTAGCTTCTGAAGGGTGGGAATTAACAAATTTTGTTTATTTTTTTTTAATTTGCAGTTATCAAGGTCTTTTAGCAATATTATTTTATCAGTTTGACTTTCCATCATATCTTTAACCTTCACTCGGCTAGCTTCGAGATCTAATAACTCCGCAATTTTTTTCTTTTGCTCCTCAGTTAATCTTCTGCTCCGTGGATAGTGTCGAAAAAGATTTTTAGTAGATTTCATAGAAATCTAACTATTGCAATGGTCCTCATGACAAAACTTTTGAAAAATTTTGCTATATTCCGACATAACTCGACGAGCTGAGTCAGAAAATACATATGGTTCAAAAGTTTATATATGTATGTATATATATACGATATAACGCGGCTTGTCACCACGATAGCGTCGCCAATTTACAATGGATCTTTATCAAACTCAACATACTTATTCTACAGATAGATACCGAGGTCAAGTTCGAAGATGAGCTTAATCGGTCAAGTAATTTAGAAATGCCATGATTTCAAAATTTTCAAAATCATAAAAATTAACATTTCTCCATTTTCGTCCTTCAATAACTTTTGAATGGGATAATTTATCGAATTTATGTAAATTGCATCTGAAAGCTCTTTAAATAAGCTTCAATTTGAATACCATATCATATGTGTAGTCCCAAAATTATGTCCTATTCCGCTATGTCAATTATGAAATTTGCTATTGCACTCATTTTTTTGTTTTTTTTCTCTTTACTGTACACCAGCAGTATGTAAACAAATAACGAGTTAGGGTGAAATAAGGTTTTAATCGCCGGTTTACTAGAAATCCATTATTTTTTTCTATTTACGATGAAATCTACTTCCATTTCGACTGCCGAATGGTCTTTTTTTACTTCTATCGTGATTGTGATTCATGTTAATTGATTTGATGATAAGATAGTGGCCAGTATCATCCACTCCTACGCTGAAAGTTGCTGGACAGTTTTTCTGAAACGAGAACGCTTTTCTTGCTCCTTTCGACGTAGATACAAAATTTTTCCTTCCATGAATACAATAGTATCGGATGCTGTAATATATCAGGGACGCTTCAACATGCCTCTTGATTCCTTTTGTGCGACATCGTTCAATTGTCATAGCATCTCGATGATAAAAAAACGCGTACTCTTTTTCTTCGAAATCTTTCACTTTCTTCTTTAACTTTTCAAAAGAATCAAATTTGTCACCTTCCTTCAATAAATTTTCATCCATGTCTTTATCATTCTCATCAGCAGCTTCATCTGAATTAACAACTTCATTCTCGTCTTCTCCGTTTTGGTCTTCCTCTTTGCCTTCATCGTTTTCATATTCTTCTTCGGAATCTGAAGAATATATCATCAATATTAAAATTAAAAAAAACAATTCTATGTTAAGAAATAAATATATATTTTTTATTAATTTAATAATTACCCATTTTGTAAGATATTTTATACAAGCTAAATAAATTCAAATTTAATTATTTTATTATAAATACTTTATGACAGAATGACAGAAATATAAACAAATGAAACTTTTTTATAAAAATAATTATTTTTAATTAAAAAAGAAAAAAAAAAGAATTAATAGCTTACCTTTTCCATTGAAATTTATTTCATTGATTTATTTTAAAATAATTTACAATATCTATTATTAAAATAAAAATTGAGTATTTAAATTATGATTACCACCTTGTGTTCACCAATCAAAATACACATTCCACCAATCACATCATAATTCCATATGGTGCGTTCCACTAAGAACATACAACAATCATACTCACGTTTATAGAATAAATTTATTAGTAAAAAAAAAAATCCTTAGTAATAAATTTAATAATAAAAAAATAATAATATCCGTATGAATATACTCATTCTTAAAAAACAAGCTAATCATCCCAATTCATTCTTAATTTAAAAAAAAAAAATTGAATAAATGTACGAATAAATATAATTTATTCATCCAGCACCCGTACAAACAGTCACTTCGT